ATGCCTGAGTGGTCACTTCATCTTTTAAGGACTTCTCTCTTCCCTGATAAGAGCAAGGTTGGTGGGTCCAGGTGTCCAGACACCAGCCCTTCCCCTGGGCAAAGGGCAGACACACGACACAGGTGAGGGACTCTCCCTGGGGACTTTGCCCTGTTGATCTTGAGTAGGCTGTGCACTAGCTCTGCTCTCCAAGCAGCCACGAACTTCCAGCCCCCCCATTGACCCCATCAACCAACTGACCACCTTCCAGCTCATCCCCTTCCTACTCCAATTAACCAGAACTAGCTTCTGTGGCTCACAACCAAAGAACCCTGACTGGAATGGTGCCATCTTGGGACTGAAGCACTGAATTTCCCAAACCACAAGAAAAGCAGGCTGGAGGAATAAATACATGTTTGCTGAGTACAGATCCTCACACTTGAGATGAGTAGGACTGAAGGGCGAAATGAGCCTTCATCCCTGTCAGCCTCTGCAAACATGCCTTTGGATCATGCAGACTTCAGCTCCCAGAGCCTCAGCAGCCCAGTATCACAGCTCCAGGCCTTTGCCAGCACTCCCAACCTGAGCAGCTCTCTCAGAAAGGACCCCAAGACACAGAAGCAGGCAAGTCACCTGGCCACCTGACCCTGGAAGAAGAGCTCAGATACACACAAAGAAAGCCACCCGAGGCAGGCCCTGGGGAGAGAAAGGTCTCCCTCAAAACCAGGTGACCCCTTCTGCTGGCAGATTCCCCACCACAGCAGGCACTCCAATGCTCTGGGAAAATCAATGCAAACAGCTGCTGAGAGGCTTTCTGCACATGTCGTAGAGGTCAAAGAGGCCAAGAGGGCGGGAAGCAGGGCCCAAGCCTGCCTGTCAGGTTGTCCTACACAGTTTCTCAAGATCTGGCCATGGTTTCCGTATCCATCTCCCTGTCCTCTTCTTAGAGGTCCTAGAAGTAGCAGAAGTATGGGTAGAGCTTCCATCTGACAGGTTTATCAATACAAGCTCATCCTCTTCACGTCAGTTCTACTCATGGTTCACATTTCTGAACACTCACCGTGCTCCAGTTCTACACACTCTGTCTGTGTGAGCAAATTCTGTCTTCATCATAATCCTCTATCCTTATCCCATGTTTAAGGGGAAACTCAGCCACAAAGAATAACCCACAAGGTGGGGAGCAAGCCAGAATGCAAACTCGGGGAATCTGGCTCCAGAAGCCTAGTGTTTTCAAACCTCTACGCCGTCCTGCTTCCTGAATGGAAGGGAGGAGTTAAGCACGGGGTCTAGGGCCTGGAGAGAGAAGGAGCCTGCATTCTGGCAGAGGAGACCACCAACAAACAAATAACAAGTACAAGGTTATGAAGAAAATCTGGAGTGAGCATCTGGAGTGAAAATCTGGAGGAACCTTCTGGAATGCCTCAAACATTCAATTTTCTTGATCTGGATTGTGGTCCCACAAGTCATGTATTAAAGTTCATCAGGCTATATACACTGAAGTGAAGATTTAAAATGTACCAGAAAATAGTAAACAAATGGCAGATGGGAGGAGCCAGCTTTCTCACCATGGAGTTTACAGATAAGTGAGGGCAGAAGGGTGCAATGATCCATGTGGTACTGGATCATAACTGCCAACAAATGCATGAATGCATGTTTAGTCTAATATAGACACAGACAGCAATGTGTACACATATTTGTATACATGTGGTTGGAATATACATGTATAGTTTCCTTGCTCTTCAGCCAAAAAGACCTAGAAGCATCTCAGCAGCAATGAGCACACTGTGCATCAGATTTGGTTTCTAATGCCATTCGCCAATAAAAAGAACCAGGACTCCTTGGGGAAATCACTAATTCTAGGGCTGAGGCAGAAAATATACAAGACGAGCCTAGAGCATCTTATCGTGGCAGAAAATAAGAAAGTGTTCAATTAATCAGTCCATCAACCAACTCCACAATGATGTCAGGGACACAGGAGACAACTGAAAGAGCCGACGGTGGCCAAAGCTACAATTTGAGCAATAAAATAAATAAGTAGTATTAGACTATAATTCAAAGTTTCAAATAACTGGGTCCATGCTGATATAAATGATTAGATAAATAAATACGGGAAGGAAAAGAGACAAATCTCCCACCAAAAGAATTCGAAACAATTTATGTAGACGCTCTGGCCTCAAGAAGGGGGACTGAGACTTCCTTCCAAAGAGGACAGTGCGGGAGGGGAGACGCCGGACAGACACTGCCTGCCAGGGAATGACAGTCCCCTCCCCGTTACCAGTGATAAAGCACCTTGATAATATGTATCCTCGTTCTGATGTGATGGATAGGGCACTTCGCTCTCTGCTCTTCCTCCCAAAACCCATCATCTCCATCTACCCTCCACCCGTCCAATCATGAGAAAAACAACGGATGAACCCCAGTTGAGGGACTTCCTACAAAATACCTGACCAGTATTGGTGCTCCTCACAACTACCAAGGTCATCAAAAACAAGGGAAGTCTGAGAAACTGTAACAGCCACGGGGATTCAAAGGAGACATGATAACAACTACATGTGATGAGGTCCGAACATACCAGTATCGGTTCCTTATCTGGGACAAACGTACCACAGTCTGGGATGTTAATAATAGAGGGGAAAACTGTGGGGAGGGGCAGGGCAATGGAAAGGGGAGATAGGGGAACACTGCACGACCTTCACAACTTACCTGGAAATCAAAACTGCTCTAAAATTGGAAGTTTATTTTTAAAAATGTAACAGAAAATGATGGAATGGCTCCTATGGACTGGGTGGCCACCAAAGGCCTCGCTGAGATGACGTCTGAGATTAATCCGAGAGATGAGAAACAGGCAGCAGGGCCCGGGACAGCATGTCCCCAGCAAAGGGCACAGGACACATGGGGCCCTAAGAGGGGAAGGAGGAGGAGGAGGAGGCGGCGGCAGAGGCAGGCGGAGTCAGGGAGAGCTGTGGCTAGGTGACTACAATGTCACAGGTGAACAAAGGTGAGTGAAGCAAGGGTCAGCTCAGGTGGGTAGGTCACAGTGACTTCAGACTTGAGCCTCAGGACACTAGAAGGTCCTGAGTGGAGGGAGACAGATAAGCCGGATCTGATCTACATTTTTCAAGACCGCACTGCTCAAGGGAGAGGACTGGAGTGGGACAGATGAAAAAGAGGAACGCCAGTCACCCCAGAGTGGCCCCACGTCAGGTGGCATTCAGAGGGAGATGCCACCTGGTAAAGAGCTGGGAGCATCCAGTGGGTCGCGTGAAGTAGGCAGCCTTGCACAGGAGTTGGGGGTGCTGAGCAAAGCAGGCCTCCCGCTCCGTGTGACTCCCTGAGTTCAGTCCTTTTGGAAGAGTCTCCCCAAGGAAGCTACTGGGCACTCCAGGCGCAGGAAGGAAGCGGCTCCTTAGAGACAAAGCCCCCATCTGATCCGATTCTACACTTACCACCTGTGAGACAGTACCCTTTGGAGTCTCAAGTTTCCTCATCTGTAAAGTGGGAACACCTCCAAAAGGGGATCAAAGAAATTCACTAAGAAAAGGCTCCTGGTGTAAGCACAGCCTTCACAAATACTGTCAGGGTGTGTCATATTTTACAAGAGAATCTTAAGACTCTAATCCAACAATTGCCTTATAGATAAGCATCAGAGGGACAGAGACAAAGCTTTCAGGTGAGTGACAGTCAGGACAAAGACCTGTCTCCCATTCTTTGGGCATTCTCTCTATACTTAGTTCTGAGCACAAGTAGGCTAGGACACACTCCCTCATCAGCAGGTGTCTCAGAACACCTCTTAGAGACAGTTCTTCCCGTGCTCAAATCTCCGTGTGGCTCTCCTTAGCATTCCACGTGCTGATGGCCCCACGAGGGCTCCAGGCGCTATGATGAGGGGCCCCAACAGCCTCTCACTGCCACCCCAGGCACAAACCACTCACCCAGGTGGCCTGGCCTTCCCACCCGAGGTGCCTCGCCCTCCTCTGAACCATGCTGGACCCCATCTGTGCCAGCTCCCATTTCCCAGGTCACCCTCACTGTCTGCCCTGCATCTTTGCCCAAAATGACATGTTATCATATAAAAGCCTCAAAAAGCTTCACTGCTTCCCACACCTTTAGGGAGCCAATTTGTGTGAAGCCCTCTCACCAGATGGGACTCTTCCTGGTGGAGTCGGAGTAACCCTTCCTGGCCCTTCTTCCCACCTCCCCCATGACCCCGGCACGGGCCGTGGGCTCGGAGTGGCACTCGGTGACTTGTGGAAGAAATACCATCACATAGGTACAAACATTATGTATGGAGAGAAGCATTTTCATCAACCAAAGGTATGAAAAATGCCCCAGTAGCTCATTTTGAAAAGCACCCTGAAGGCAAAAATGAGTAATTGCTTCCTCTGGGAAGCCTCATAAAATCTGAGACCCAACAAAAGGTACTGATCCCACAATTCCAAGGTTTTGAGGAGTCTAATACATGATTCTGAATACAAATATAAACCACGTTTGCTCTGATTTGCTAACTTTTGTCCTAAATGCAAATGCTGTCCCCAGCATTCCAGAAAGCCCTACATTTCCTTTTGATCTCCAACCAAGACACCATTTTCTAATGAGGTGGGCCAACTTCATATCACTTCTATAAATCATTCCAAAGAGGCCTCTTACTAAAATCAGAAATCCAGCAGTGGCTGGAGACTCTGGTTGCTTCTAGAACATGCTTTCTTTAAATTTTGATTACTGAAAGTTACCCGGCAGAGAGGTAGCCAGCTGCCTTCAGCCCTCAGTCATGATACTCATATAAATACTGTGGGGAAAATCCCCAACAGGTCAGTACATCTACACAAACACAAAAGGGAAAGAAAATCAAAGGGAGATTTCTCCATAAATTAGACTCATCCATCACAGGTTCCACATCTCACAACGAGAGGAGTGTGGCAACCTCAGCTCACAGAGCCACACTTCGCTGCACTGCAGCAACTCCAAAGAAATTCCAATTTCCTCCTCTGCTCTGGAATAGATAATAAAAGATTTTTACTCACCTTTGGAGCGAGTAGAGATATCCATGCCCTCTACCACCTCCTGTTCTGTTTTTATTTCCTCTTCAGCCAAGCTGAAACAGAGCATATTATGTTCAAGTTTAGGTAGTCTGGGAGAACTTGCCCCATGGGGGCAGCTATTTAGAAGTTCTAACAACAAACCCACATTTAAGACAATTCTCCATCCTTATGCAGGGGTGGGAGGAGAGAAACCCACACTTGATTTCAAAGTGTTAAGACTCCTAAAGGAGTTTTTTAAAACACTAGGTTGTTCTTTTTTTAAGTCAAATTACTATTCCAGTTGTCATGCTATTATTGGGGGATGAAAAAAGCATTTTAGACACACAGTTACAATCTGCCCCTGTGGGCCAATGAGAACCCAGCCATTAAGTAAACAAGTTTCTCATTGTTAACACCCAATTCAGGTTGGAGGTGGATCACTGGGTACCCACAATTCTGATCTCTGAATTCTGCAAGGCAAAGAGTCATTTCTCAGACCTCTCCACTAAATCTTACAATTTCCCCATGAGGCAAGGACATGGAAACATATTTAGGTTGAATTACAAAGTAGAAAAATATGCCCAGGCTAAAAGCAAAAGGCCTGGTCTCAAACCATTCACATCTTGAGCACCAGCATTCATCCCAGGAATTAGGATTGGGGTCTCCATACTTCCCACCCCCTGGACATTTCCTCTGTACAGCAGGCACTGCTTAGAGAAAGCGTTCAGCACTCTTTTGAACTGTGACTGATTATCCCCCACCACAAAAATGGAATGAGGAAGGATTATTTAAAAGACAGACAGAGTTGGGGGATGGAGAGACAAGCGGGGACAGCAAGGCCCCCTTTGCTGGGAAGGTCCCTGAGAATCCTCCCTCTCTCTGCTAAAACTCCCGTCGAGTAAGTGCAGGCCATTTCATATTTTCCCCACACACACCTCCCAAGCCAAGCCAGTTGAAGTTCTATTTTTGTAGGTGCAAAATGTTTGAGGTTCCAGAACTTTCCAAACATTCTAACTGACAATGAAGTGGTAAAATCTGAGCAATTACTCTAGATGCAATTCCATCAGATTGTGGTTCAATAAAAAGAAATGGGTGCATCACCAATTGATATGGCTGGAATTTTCCATTGGATAGACTGAAAGCCCGGGCAGGAGGGAGGCTGGGCAAGAGCGGATGGATGAGAATGTCTCTTCTGTGTTCCGTGATCTGGGACTGTGACAAGATAAAAGATGAGTCCAAAAAGGCCTGGAATGTCAGGGTCAGATGGAGATGTGTGTTTAGGAGAATTCCATGTTTGCTAGGGGAAGAGGATTCAGGATGGGAACGGGATCAAAGGAAGCAATTATAGCTCAGAATTAAATCAGAACTTGGATGCCTCAAACTTAACTAGTCCCAGCAAAAAGAAAGGTAGTTTGGTTTAAAATCAGGATATTAACACATTTAGCTCTCCGATACTGAACCCCATTAACAGTTCCATTTACACTACATCTGTCGAGAAAGCTGGTGACACAAATCACCGAACAAACAACAGACAGGTTGTCACAAACGGTTTTCATCAGAAGAAAGCAGCCTCTTCAATCTAAGCACATCCTGAGCACACAATAATACAATGGTGATTTGTGGAAGGTGGTTTTAGCACCAGTACTTTTTTCGCAAACTTGAGGCAAACATTCTCAACTCAAAAACACAACTGCCTACAACACACACAGGTTGTCCAAATGACTGCTGCAAATGGTTACTTACTTAGAGTGATGGGAAATAATAAATTTTAACAAAAAGCCTCATGCGGTCCTCAGAGATGGTCAACTTTATAAGTACAAACAGCAACCTTGATCCTTCCTACAACTAGAATCGTTTCCCTCTCTAGCATAAAGTATGTGAAATTCTGAAGTTCTTGAAACCGATCCTGTATTTTGAGATGTGATGGAGAAAAAAACTCATTTGTGATCCAACCAAAACATACGGTGGTGAAAGGAACAATTATGCGTATCAGAGCCCCAAAAACCCACTTGAAGGATTCTGCAGCAATGAAAACATTCAAAGGTGTATTGATCACGGAGGAGGGCTGCATTCCAGAGAACAATTATTTGGCTTGTAACAGCCCAGAGGAGCTGAATACTTCAGGCAGGGATGCTGCTGAGAGGCTAAGAAAATGCAAACTAGTTATGTGGTGGCTATTTGCTGCTGAGTTTAAGATAATCAATTCTGGAGCAGAAAGGAAGGGGAAAAAAAGTTAAGCTGTTTTATCTTTCCAAGTATTACAAGTGGGCACCATAATCACCTAACTTTAGCAATAGCACCACCAAGGATTTCAAGCACAATTTCAGAAAACCATCTTTTTCAGAGATCAGCAAGCCATCATTTCAAAGGGAATCCATTCATGCACATGCATACATACACACACACAACTTGTATTTGACTAAAGGAAATTGCAGTGGCTATGCATTAAAAGGGGGAAAAATTTCATTTACAAGACCAGAATGCAGAATTAGTCATTTTGAATAGCCACATCTAAAGGGACTTCCTCTTTTCTACACCACTGATCTCGGCTGGTTTTTGTTGTTGTTGTTTGTTTAGTGTTAAGTACAGGTATGTTATTAGGGAGAAAACTATGAATGCTACATCAAAAGTAGTGGTAAGAAAAGACTTGTACAATCTGAATGCCCTATGGATCATGGTCAATTTAGATAAAGAACTGTTCAGTCATTTGGAGGAAAAAAAACAAGTAAATAACCATAATTGTTACAAAGAAAAGGCTGCTGCATCTGGAAAAGACTTTGAACTCTTGTCATTAACACATTAAAGTCTTAGAAAATATACAGCATCTTTCCTTCCCTATCTGCTAGCTTCCAGCCGATTATTTAAATCAAAAACAATGGAACAACAAGCCCTTGTTTCAAAATGACATTACCTTTTTTTTTTTTTTTAGGTCTACTGAGGAGGCTGGGGGACAGCTAAAGGAAAAAGGTAAAATTAGCTGAAAACAAAAAACAACAGCTTCTCACCCCAACAGGAAAATATACCATCAACTAGTTGTATACATTGTATGTTCCCATCACCACCTCTTGCACTCACATTTACCCTACCTCACTTGCCTCTGGATTTCACACGCTGATACATTTCAGGCAATTAAAGAAGAAAAAACAGCGCCTGCAAATACAACCAAGACCATCCCATCCCTTCCCAGAAAGAATAAAAGATTTCTCCCCCCCAATGCCTGAACAAGAAAACCTATGCTTACTTCTTAACCTGCATGCACTGAAAAAGAGCAATTAAAAGTTACAGATGAACTGCAGCACCTCCAGGATGTTTTAAGCCTTCTGATTATTAATTCTGAGGATCCAAGGCTGGTCCGTAATTCCCAGGAATGCCATCCCCTCAACACTTCCAAAAGAGAGAGGAGGAGAAAAGAGAAAACATCTAGTTTTGAGAGAAAAATGCCTAGATACACAATGCCCAGCTATTTCCTTTCCCCAAGTGCTCCTACTATTTGACTTTTAACCAAGAATATCTAACCCATCCAGCATATATAACCAGCATGCACAAGACTCTGGTTCTACAGAGGATCATCGCACAGCAATTCAAGATTCATGCATCATTCGAAAGCACTTTTCCTTCAGAGTTTTTTTACTTTCATTCAAAATACCAAACTGGTCCAGGCTGTAAGAAATACTTAATCCCCAAGACACAACATCTTCCTCTTCTAGATCACAAAATAGTGAACATCAAAACAAAAAAAAAAACATGCTTCCCTATATCTGCAATTAAATTTTTCTTAAAAATTGGGGGGGAGGGAATGGTTAGCAGAGCAGCTTTATATAAGCACTCACCTAAAACAGGCAGAGTCATCGGTAGCTAAGCTATTTATGCAGGATTCTTAAAATGGCGTCTGGCAACACTGCCTCATTCCTGTATTGAAGCTAAAATGGTAGCAGTTTGTTCAATAGCTGTAGCTCTTGTTTAAGCAGCCCTGCTAGTTTCAAAGCCACCTTCCTAAGTATGAGAACTAGGAAAAGCTCAAGCAAAGGACACGGACAACCTAACGTTTAGAAGCTTAAAAAAAAAATCTGCAATGACAGGGGGAGTTTGTGAAGTCACAGGTTCCTAAGGAAAACCCTTCCTTTTTAGATCCTGAGCCTTCAACATGAAGCTCTGAGATGAGGCCCCCTTGCCCTCAGATTAGGTGGGTGAAAGGGTAGGAATCACGCAACCCTGTGGCATAGACTACAGACAGACAGGTGTCTGTGCAAAGAAAATGTTAAAAGGAGCTGGCTGAGGAAGAGGGCAGCCCATTCCCCCTTCTTGGTGTATTAGAAACCAGCTTTGCATCCATACCAAAAACGAGCTAGGTAAAATGAAAGTACTTCAAGGAGAGCAGGCATTTGGAAAGCCAAGCTAGAGGGCTGCACCCCAGTCTGAGGCCAAGGTAAAATAAAAAGGCTGTTTGTATGCCTGCAAACGGCCACCACATACCCAGCCAGTCCTAAGGCAGTTCACATCAAGGAAAGACAATCCCAGTCAGCAAAGGAGAAACAACAGTAAAACAGTCCCTTAGCCAATGCACGGGATACTCACAAATTAGATTTTTGTCCACCCCCAACAGGGCCCTGAAAATTAACAATGGGTTTTGCAAAACCCGCTTTCAGAGGCCGAACTAATAGCCACATGGTGGCTCATGTAATTTACTGTTACAGGTCTGAGAATTGGCCTCAGAACTGTTGTGGTGCTGTGAATGGGGGAGCTGCAAGGTGACTGCTTTTTAGCTCCAGGGGAGAAAGGAGGGCATGGTGCCCAAGGCTGTGCCAGAGCCAGGAAGGGTGGCTGGCTCCTCGCCGGCTGGTAGGTAGGTAATCTTGATGAGGAGGGAGAGCCTGGCAGCAGAGCTAGCTAGCTGCGTGCTGAAATGGCTCCCGCTTGCTTGTTTATCTGGAAGGAGAGTGGGGTGGAGGGGGAAGGGCAGCCATAGCCTTAGCAACCTGAAGCCAAGGGTGAATCCTTACTTGTTTCTGCATTTAGGAGCAAGGAGAGGGCTTCTCAACATATTCCCTTACTAATCTCTGCTGCGGGTGGGGAAGGCACTTTCGCATGTATCTTTCTTTTCAGGGTCAACCAGAGGCAAAGCCAGATCTAGGGCTTCTCAGCTGACAAATGGTTGCTGCCTCTGCCACAGGAGAGAAAAGGGGAAAGAAGGCAAAAGAAACAAAGAGATCACACATTTGAAGTGGTTGGACTTTTAAAAAACCTACCTTTGCCTTCAGGGTTTTCTGGGTTACTGTCACCCTGCCTTTTTACCGAGTGACTCATTTCCCCCTCTCTCCTATTTAAGACCTGAAGCAGTTTCCCCACTGCTCTCTCAGGAAAAGGGGGGGAATGTTTTGTTTAAAGAAAAAGGGGTTACAAGAAAGAAAGGAGAAGAAAAAAAAAAGCTATTGTTTTCATCCCTAATTTATAATCCAAGATGCCTCATTGTTTCGTTCTTTCTGACTCAAATCTTTTGAGCTGTTAATTATAAAAGTAACTGGACTCTGCTCCAACAGGCTAGTTCATATGCGGCAATTAGAAAAACTCTGTAGAAAGTTTACTGAGTGATTATATATAATTAATTTCTAGTTACAGACAGAACACTGACCATTTTCTGGAGCTAATAAAGGCAGCTACTCCCCCTCCCCCATGTGAATGCCACTTAATTTCCCAAAGCAGAAAGTGAATCCATCCTGGAGGGTCCTGAAGGGAAGGAAAAAAAAAGAGAGAGAGAGAGAGAGAGAGAGGAATCAAAAGCTTCAGTGTGTCTGTTTGCTCCGTGCAGCTGTGCATCCTCTTTGGGGACTGAGGAGGCAGAAGGAAAAAGGAAAACAGCCCCACATTCTGTTCCTCCCTCTGCAATTTATAAATGTGGCAGAGAGACCTTTCTACCTTTAAGCAAAAAAGCCAGGGGGGAGGGGGAAGACGCCCTAGGAATGGAATGCAGGAGCCTCTTCAGCTTGGCAGATCTGCTTTTCCTAAAAGAAACAAAGATGGTAGAAATTTCCAGAAGGCCCATTCTCACTCCAGCCACTGCAATTGTCAATCTGTAACCTTTCCTCCAAGTCTATTGGTTCAAAAGCTGGAGAGAAGAACCCCATTGGGCTGCTCTGTGGGCCGGTACTGCTGTCCCTGCTTAGTCCTGCTGCAATGCAGAGATTTATTTTTTCCCCCTTTAGTGAAACTGGAAAATAATGCTTCTTTGAAAGCAAATTAACTTTTTACAGACTCATGATTAGTGGTGGTCACAGTACCAGAGAAGAAAGTAGCTAGCTTGGTCCAGGGCTGGGAACTTGCTGGGGCCAGACGTTTGAAAACAGACCTTGGCTTTGCAAACCTGTGGGAGCCATTTTAATGCAAGCTGTTCAGAGGACAAATGCCTTGCTTGCCCTTAAGGTTTCCTACCAGCCTAACAAACACACCATTATGCAAACGTTGAAGGCAACAAACCAGTTGTCTTGTGATTAGATATTGCTTCTAGGGAGGCCACAAGAACCTCAATATGTAATTTCCATTTACAGTCAAGGGATAAGAACAAAGAAAACAGCTAAGTGTCTGAACTTACTTGTATGGGATAGTGGCACTGTTCAATTTTAAGTATACAACCTCATTAACTGACTATACTTTTACTCTAAGACGCTGGCATTAGACGTCTTTTTCTTAAGAGTTTAGTACATTTCTTAGTATTAAATGAGCCTTTTGCCAACTGGTGCTGAAAGGTGGGCAGGTGGACACTAATTTAAAAGAAAAAAAAAGATTATTGATTTCAGAAAGTTTACCTAACACAGCAACTGAATATATTTCCAGCATTTACAGTCATGCTGACTGGGTCTCCAGGCTAGAAATGCATGTAATGAACTTCTAGGTAAATTATGAAGCTAATGCTAACCATGAGTCTACTTTTTTCCCTCTTAAGTTCTAGCCTACAGCATTAAGAGATCAGGGGAAACATAAAATGTGAGAAGTAAATCATAAGTAAAGCAAGCGTGCATACAGATGTGTGGCTCAGGCTTGGAAAAAGGCCGGATCTCTGGTGCAGTGAGTCCTGAATCAAACCAAGTTTGGTGGTGGGTGGGATTTTGCACTAACATGTAAGTGTACTAAAACATAAGTACTGACACCCCCATCCTCACATACCACCTCCACCACCAGGCTTCTGCCTCACCAGTGTTTAAGACTGTGACTGTTAAGAAGCAGCACTTTCGTTGTATTTCACAAGCAGATCACCTACCCAGAGTTCTAATATCCAAACAAACCCAATTCAAGGTCCCCAGTCAAGCCACAATGAACTGAACATTTCTCCCCTGTCCCAGGGTAAACAGGAAGTGCAATCTTCAATCCTAGCTGCAGGTTATCAGGAAAAACAGTGGATTCAAACAGCCACCTAAAATCAAAATACTATTAAAAAGCCCTTATATGGTTCCTGCTAATGAAAGCACCCCCTCCCACAACTGCTGCAGCCACGACCCCGTGTTACAAACAGACCCCAAAATGTTCACCAAAGTCTTTATACATGGTCACAGAGGAAATGGATTGCTTTACTTACCCAACAAATGCTCAAGCAACCGTCTCATTTTTCCACAGTTAAGAAGAGAGAACAGGCTGGCAGATTTGGGACTTGATCAAAAAGGAAATTTTTTTAAACAGTTACATGGGATTATTAAAAACACACACACACACACAACAACACAACATAACAACTGAATATGGAATGCTGTCATGAGCCACAGACATGATTTTATTTCCTCTGCACTCTATCACACAGGACAGAGGATGATACAATGTAAAAAAGGGAAAGGAGAATGAAAACCAGGATAAAAGGTACATTAGTTCATTGAAAACCATGCAAGAGTAGAAAGCTAAGGGATTCAAAGAGTCCTCACAGATTTATTGCAGGATGTTGGCCAGCGTCTCTCCCCCCACTGCACCCCCCTCCCCCAAATCCCCATCCCTACTCCAAAAACTTCCTCCAAAGCCTAGAAAACACTTTCAGAAACATTTGCTGGCTGTAGGCTGCTTGCAGAAGAACACTGTATCAACAGAAGTCAGGAAAAAAGGCTGAACAATGTAGTTGCAAGTGAAGAAACCCTGTAGGGAGAGAAAAGACTATGTAGAGACACCACCACCCACCTAGGCCCCAGGAGCTAGGATCCCTCCTTAGCACTGCTCTGCTGAGGGCTTGGTTCTTTTTAAAACACACGTCCTCTCTTGTCAGAACTTAGTCCAGCCTTCCCAGAACCTCTTTGGAGAGGTAAACTTGCCTGCTTTGCTGTCTGCCATGAGCTCTCCTTGGAAAGGAGCCTGCTTCCTTACCTTCCATTTTCTTCCCCCAGCAAGCATGTGACACAAGAGAAGACAATAGTGCAGGGGGGGAAACTGCTGAGAGAGAGAGAGAGAAAGAAGAGAGGAAAAAAAAAAAAAAGCTTCTTTTTTGGCATACCAGGATCTAGCTTCAAACTATTCCAGAAATACCATGTCCTGGTGGAAGAAAAGGTGTGCCAGGCCCTTGCCAGTTTGCAAAATCAAGCTATGGCTAATGGCTACTTAGCCATGTGACCCAAGAAAGCAAAAAAATTCTCTCTAAACAGTTTCAAGTTAACCTAAGTGCTGTGGGGTGAGTGTGGCACGGCCAGCCACAGAGAAATCACACTGCTCGCCCACAATTCGGATGTCTCAGAGGGAGGGGGAGAAAAGATGGTTAAAAAGTCGAGCTTACCTCTGTGGATGCATTGTTAACACTGTGTAATGTCAATACTTATAAAACATGGAGGACAGGCTCCTAGTTCTCACAGAAAAAGGGTTTGGCACTTCGGCTTGATGATCTGGCCGCCTAATAAAAGCTCATCCCCGATTGGCTGCGCCGGCAAATCGGAGTGTAAGGCCGCCCGGGATTGGCTGAAACACTTCCTGAGCGATTATCTTTGTGAGGCTCTGGTGAGCAAGAGCCATCCTGTGCATAGAAAAAGACAGGCTAAGCTAGGCCTTTTGCAGCAAGAAAAACTTGGGAAAGGGGCCCCCAGACGCACTTCTCCCACACCCTGGCTAGATTTCCCAGCACAGGCGAGCCAGTGCAGCCAGCCTGACCTGCTCCAACACAGCCTGAGGCCCGGATGCCACTGGGAAGAGAGTTTTTGGGGCAAGCTGAGAGGCTCACCCTCACCTGCCCCCACAGAAACGGCTCTTTGCTAGGCGGCAAGCTGGCCCTTTGCTAGAACAGTCCAGCTGAATGGTTCTCCGGGAAGGGTTGGGAAGAGAAACTGAGAAATGGGGAGTCCCAGGAAAACAGCCAAGGGGCCAGAGAAAGGGGCTTGAGGCAGGCCTCTGAGGAGCTGAGGAAAGAGACAGCACAGGCAAGCCCCAAGAAGTCGCTAAAGGGCAGCCGTGGCTTCTCAGAGGAAAGAGGATTTGGGCTGCTGAGTGGAGGAGGGGAACAGAATGGTCAAGTTTGCATAGTCATTGTCAAAATGCCTCCTGGAACAGCAGGCCAGACAGCCATTTGCCCAGCCTAATATCTCGCCCCCCTCTGCCAGTACTCAAAAGAAAACTAAAATGGGTTCCTGCCTCCCTGCCAGGGTGCCAAGGTGGGGCCCCAGTCCGTCCTTACCCTAAGAAAAGCCAAATGCGCTCCTAGCAGGCCACATGCCTAGATCTACAAACTTCCCTTCCCCTCCAGGTACCCTCCCCCACCACTGAGGCCTGCTAAACCTGTCAGTTAAACAAAAATCTGACTTCCGTATTAGTCTGCAATGCCTTCAGCTTCCTGCCTATTAACCCTCTCTAGGACTCTGGGCCTGCCTGGGAAAAACTAGGCCCTGAGATCGCAGAAAAGGCCTGTGGAAAAATACCAGCTGCAGCTCTGCCGGCAGATGCAGGGAGAGAGAGAGAGAGAGAGAGGGAGCCGCTGTCTCTCCCCTTTGCTTCCCAAGGAGGCGTGTACCTTCTGAATCCAGGGCACAGGCAGTGCCTCTCCGTCTGAGAAGCCATTTAAATCCAGAGGGAGAAAGAAAGATGTCAAACTCAGCGAGGGAACAAGAACCCCCATTATTAGGCCTACATCCACTACTTAGCCCTTCCTACTACAATCATCCCTGTATGCATGTTCTTGGGGAACTGGGCCCTCGGTGGGCAGACAAATCCCATGAGCTTTATAAGGATTCTTGCTTACATTTATTTCCACAGAGAACTGCTTCTTTTCGTCCCCTAAGGCAGATGGAAGAGTTATTTTACACACAGCCCTACACTTGGCAGCCCCCCACACACACCCATCTCTGGCACTGCTCCCCAGTAAAATATTAACTCGTTTTTCAAAGCTGCTTATAATTCCATCCACTTCACTAGTATTAGGAGGTCTTTGCTACTTCCTCCCTGAAGATGCTTTTGTAGTTAGTCTATGTCCTGAGAAAGAAAAGGCAAATCCAAATGCATCTTAAAATGTCCATGCTTGCTTGCTTGCTTCTTTTTGTTTTCAAGACAAGGTGCTTCATTAACAAGATTTTTTTTTAAACAGCAAGCTGGAACAACAGAGGCTGAACAAACACCATTCTTTAGAGGCTGGATAAAGCTTCAAGAGGTGAGGCAGCCATATGCCAGGAGCTAAAACTATGGCCCAATAAAGGCACTCCACTCCTCCTAAAATTAGGGCTTGTGGGTTTTCTTGTCCCACAGGGTTCCCACAAAGAAAACGTAGAGCTGATGGCCTGCTCTGCCAGCCCCCGCACACCCACCCCCACGGACAACAGATGCCCACTGCATCTACATAAAATTCTTCCTGGCTGGGAAGCTTACATCAAAACAGGAATAAGCCAGGAATCCAAACAGACTCTACTGCAGGGGCAGGGCCCAGGCTTTAAGAAAAGGGAGGTCTTTTGTTGCTGTCCTCATTGTACAGGAGGCTGAAGAGGCCAAGATGCAGGAGGGACACCCCCACTAGCACCTGGTCTGACAGAGAGATCCAGCACTCAGGACAACAGGCCTAGGCCTCACCAGGAAGGAGGGGCTTCCGCTTCCTGGGGGTAGGACCCTGTACAGGGAAACCTAACGCAGGTCAAGAGGCGGAGGCCAGAGCTAATCACACTATGCGCTCTCTCTCCCAGCTCTGCGGGCTGCAGCCCTCCACCAGCATCCCGCGGGGAATACTGTTTGTCTCTGTGGCTGTCGTGTTTGGAAGGACAAACACGACTGGGTCAGTGGTGGATCTCATGTGCGACTAACTTCACGACCCCGAGGAGGAAACGAAGTATGTCGCCGGTGTGCACAGTGGATTTTAACCCGGGATTAAAGCTTGTTGCATAAGCAGCTGCAGCATCCTCCCCCTCCCCCCCGCCTCTCTGATCACTTGATCACTTGAAATGTTTTCTGGGGCAAAGAGCAGGAAGCTGCTGGCTTATTCTGGCAGCTCTGCTCTGCTTGAGGAATGCTATTGGCATTCGGGTAGGTCTGAGGTTATCTGGTGGGGTGGCAATTCGGCTGGGGACAGAGACAAAGGTATGGTGGCATATGGAATCCTGAGAGAGACACAGATTGGAAAGGGAGCCTGGGGCAGGCCTACTAAGGGCCAATCCTGGGCTTTGGTGGAATGTGGCCGATAAGTAGGAAATAAAGACACCAAATGTCGGTGGCCTCGATCTAGAAATCATTCCCTAGCCCTTTTCAAATCCCTCTGCAGGGTGGGTCCAGGCAGCTACTGCCTGCTTGCTGTGGGCCAGGCACTGTGCTAAATCAGCACTTTTGCACAGACTGACTCCATGAGATAGGGAAGATTGTTAGTGACCTGGAACCGAGCCCAGAGAGGTCAAGTGAGCTGCCCAAGGCCCCACAGCTCACTAGTGCCAGACACCAGACTTCCAACCTAGTTATGACTCCATATCCCTAAACCCTTTACCTTCACCTGCCTCTAAAGAAAGAAACAACAGAAAAGCCAAACCAATCAGAGTAGATACAAGGCTAAAATCTACCAAAAGCAACCACATGATCTGTGTTTTCTTTTAGAAGGTTAACTTCTTTGAGAATGTTTGAAGTACTGAATGATGGAGCTGGGAGACCCTTAGAACAGATTTATTTGATGGCCGAGAAAGCTCCTCTCTCCCTACAAACCTCCAGCAAGATGTCAAGGGGAACTTTGCCATCTCTAAAGTTGGGCTTTTGTATTCCTGAAGATCAGCGGTTCTCAACCTAGGGCAACTTTGCCCCCAGAGGACATTTTCAATGTCTGGAGACACCTTTGGTTGTCCTAACTGGGGAGGCTGCCATAGGCATCTAGTGGGTGCAGACCAGGGATGCTGCTAAACACCGCACAGTGCACAGGACAGCCCCACAATAAGGAATTATGCAATCCAGAGTGTCCACAGTAGGGAAATCTTGGCTTAAATAAAAAGGAAGAAAAAAATCTAACCACTGTGGCACTGGAGAGAAAAGCCAGCACAGGCCTAAACAAGCAGGTTCCATGGTGATATTAATAAACAGTGAGCTAATAAAAATAGATTAAAACATGTCTTCTCTTAATATTCCCAGAGGACAGAGAGAATTGGCGGACAGGATCAGGCTTAGGGAAGCCAGGCCGTGTCTCAGTGACAAAGCTGGCCTCAAAGGGGAGGAAGGGCTGACCCCTTCCTCAGGCACCTGACTAGCTGGGGACTGGCCTCACTGAAATGGCTCTCGGCTCCCGCTGGCCTGCAGCCAGGCAAGCAGCGGGAGGAGCAGCCTCGGCAAGCTGCATCCCCAGATAGCCCGTTCAGCTGACTATGAAAATAAGCACACTTGGAGTTATCTGCCTCAAGCTAGCAGCAGGCCTTTCTGTCCGTTATGTGAAACGGATGGGATTGAGGCAGGGAAGTGTTTTAAATATCTTACTTTGTTTTGTTTTGTTCCTTTTTGGCCAACTGGAACCGAGGCCAACTTTGGGTATGGCGACAGAAGGGCTCACCTTCAGAGCACGGAGCTGCCTGGGTCATATTACAGCCACAAAGAGGCATTAGGAAGAGGTATGCCCTGGAAGGCCTTTTTTTCCCTCCTTCTTTCTAGGAGGGATTGGCAGGATTAGGCAAATGGAGGAGGGAAGGGCAGGTGGAAAGGAGGGGGCAGGATGGTACATGACCGTCAGACAGATGGCTGCAGCGTGGGTAGGGAGAGATGTAAGGGAGGCAGGGACAAAATGAGCATCGAAAGGAAGAAGATTCAGGGCTTCCCCCCCTTACCTTCGTTACTTCCTAGCAATGCTCACTTATGAAAGGAAGAGCACATATTTATTTGCCGTATCAGTTTGTTTCTCCCTCCCACCAGACCGGTGGCAATGTCTGGAGACATTTTGGTTTGTCACATCTGCAGGAAGGGGGTACTCTTTCTATCTAGAGGTTAGAGACCAGAGATGCTGCAAAGCACCCTGCAGTGCACAGGAGAGCTCCCCGCAAGGGAGAATTAGCCAGCCCCAAACGTCACTTTTGGGTGGAGAAACCCTGCACTGGACAGAAAGCTTCAACAGACCTTGGCTGGATCTTCCCCATTGACCCCAGAGACCAACACTATGCCCGATATACACGAGGCCTCGGGGAACATCACCCCCCACCTGGGGGGTGTTTGCAGTCTCCTACCTGAGCCCCCTTCAACGCCCTTGGAAACACTTGGGGGTGGGGAGGAGGTGACTAGAATAGGGAGAAACTCACCCACATGCATGCACACACCCACGGGCAGCCTGCTCCTCCTCTGCTCAGGACCCCTTTATCTGACTCCATGCTGGACGGCCCCATCTCCCTCTATCAGAAAAGCTGAGGACTATGTCCCAGGAGGAGCCACCATGGCTTGTCCTCCCTGTATCCCTTCCAATCCCAGCTGCCACCTCATGGCCAGGGTGTCCCTCCTGATTTCTCAGCTGGGGGGTTTCCTGGCTTCTGAACTTCTACACCACCAGAGAACATCACCCCTGCCTGTGACTACTCAGTGTGGGGGTTACTGGAA